TGAGCCCACCGCACTTGGCCTGATAACATGCTACTCACTGGCTTCCGTCCTTTCTGTCTTTCTTCCTCTGTATCCTGCCTGCTGCTGTTTCCTGGAGTCACCTCTCAAATACATTTCTTGCACTCAAATCCTTGTCTGAAGCTTCTGGGAAAACCCAACTCTAAGAAAGTCTTCATATACAGTATTAAAATTTTATTTTGAGGCTCTCATGATGTTCCCCCACCACCGGAATAAATTAGGCCAAGCCTGTTTGCAATGGGGAGGAATCACAAATATCCTTTTGTTATCAAGGTTTTGGATTGAGTGCTTATTTTCTTATTGAATCTCTGAAGAATGACTTAAGGTTTAAGGAGTTACTTTTGAACCTTAGAGTTAATAGTCAGTTTGCTAGAAAGCCCTTGATGTTTCCATTTCCAAATCCTAAGATTGTATTAGGTTCATGCAAAAGTTATTTTGACTTTTGCATTGTTGATATTTGCCATTTAATACTGGAATACATTCTTAAATAAATATGGTCATGTTATACATCATTTTAATGCACATTTCTTGCTTTATTTTTTAACTTCTTGCTTGCTATTTATTTTATATTTATTTTATATTATAGAAATGATGGTAGATAAAAAGCAAATCTGAGCTATTTTCCTCTTCGAGTTCAAGTGGGTCTTAAAGCATTGGAGACAACTCCAACATCAACAACACATTTGGTCTAGAAGCTGCTAATGAATGTCTGCGCAGTTGTGATTCAAGAAGTTTTGCAAAGGAGACAAAAGCCTTGAAGTTGAGGAGCGTAGTGGCCAGCCGTGGGAAGTTGACAATGACCAATTGAAGCTGATTCTCTTACAACTACACGAGAAGTAGCCGAAGAACTTCACGTTGACCATTCTACTGTCATTTGGCATTTGAAGCAAATAGGCCTTGGACCCCTGGGCTCAGGTAATCCTCTCACTTCTACTTCCCAAAGTGCTGAGATTACAGGTGTCAGCCACTGTGCCCAGCCATTCATGCATTATTTACTGAGTCTTTGGGTGCCTGGCACTGTGTTGGGTCCTGGGCATGCAGAAATGGGTAGAACAAGGCCTGTGTTCCCCAGAGGCCTGGAAGCCAGAGGCTGCCATGGATATATAAATAATGGAGGGAATTCTCCCAGTAATAGACTCACCTATGGAGTCAGTGGGGGCCTGAAGGAGAGATAGGTTAATTCCACCTTAGGACCTTGGGAAGATAAGGGAGTCTTCAGGGTGGAGGGACCCTGAGCAAAACCTGGAGCACTCCAGGGGGAACTGGTGGTATGAGCAGAGGTGTGACAGGACTCAAAGAGACTGGGGAGACTGCAACCAGAGTGCAAGCAATGCCCGACTGGTATATTAAAGGTGGAAGATTTGTTGGTTTTCAGAGGTGCGCTGTGCTGGGAAGCAGTGTGGCACAGTAGTTAGGGGCACAAGCTCTGCCTACAGACAGACTGAAATGCCCATCTCAGTTCTGACACTCATTTACTCTGTGCCCTTGGGAAAGTCAACAGCCTCTCTGAGCCTCTGTTTACTCATCAGTGTTATACTGGGGATAGACTATCCCCTGCATAGGTTTGTTGTGGGGATTAAATGAAAGTATACCAGCTTAGCCCCTAGGACACAGTGAGCGTTCAATCGAAGATATTATTTGTTAGTGATTTGCACCAAGGTGTTCTGGCTGAAATGTTTAGATATACTTCCTATTGTGTTATTGTCTACAGGAGTCAGTGCAGTACAATGTGCAGGTTTGCAGCCTAGGAGCCATCAGCTGTACCATTTAGCCTGGGTGTGTAGGAGGCTGGACCATCTAGGGCTGTGTAACTACACTCTGTGATGTTCACACAAGGAAATTGCCTAACTACACGTTTCTCAGAACATATCCCCATTATTAAGTGACACATGACTATATTTGCAACTACTGATTACTGGGTCCCGAGAAACATCTTTGTAAAAGAGACTTAACCGCGTCCTAGGCCGCAAGGAGCCAAAAGTAGACTAAACTAGGGCAAAGGGTTGCCCCTAAATGTGGCCTTGTGTGTCTCCATGGGCTGGAGTGTTAAATTGTCCCACCATCATCATCTCCCCAGCAGTTTTTGGAATTCATCCTCTGGTACCTGGGCAGGCTGTAGGAGAGCACTGCTTCTCTGATGACTCTCCCCTCACTCCCACCCCATGGGGAGTTCTCAGAAATTTGCACTGGGGGATGGTGCCTGTCTGGTGAACGTGGGGACATGCAGGACCAAGTGGCAGCACTCCAAATTTCTCACTCGCCGCAAGGCCCACGTCTCACCCTTTTCAGAAGCATCTGCAGTGATGTTCTCAGAGAAGTTGGAGACCTCCCAACTGCCTACCCATTCTGGTCTCTCTGCACACAGGACGGGCAGATGGGCCGTGAGACCCGCTCTGCAGAGGGCCCGAAACACAGCTCTGCCTTAACAGCTTGGGAACATCTCAACCCCATGAAATCTCCTCAGACTTGGGAGATGAAATAGACCAGAGAGAGGGAGAGCTAGGACAGCTCCGTGTCTGTGTTAATGGGGAAACTGAGGCTCAGAGAGGCAAAGGGAATGGCTCCGAATTACATAGCAGGTCAGTTTCTAGACAGGCTCTTGTGTCCCTGGTCAGTATGCTTTCTACACTCCTCACAGCCACTTTTCCTACCGACTTGAGCTCTGCCAGCTGCAGGTGTTGCCAGGGCCACCCAAAGCTCCCCCTCTCACCTCAGCCAGGAGCTCCTAACTCTGCGTTTAGAGAACTGCAGTGCTCTTATGGAACGTTTTCTCCCCCCCCACCTGGCAAAAGAACATTGATAACGTCTGTGCCCCAGACACTTTGTGGTTGGGGCTACAGAGTTGAATGTGGTGGGGGGTGAGTTTTAACTCCCCATTGACGCAGGGAGGGTCTGGAGTCACAACTGTCCTGATACACATTTCTTCTTCATTTCCTCCCAAAGTCTGCATTTCCTTGTTTATTAGACCAATCTCCATCCTTTAGTAACTTGCAGCTTCTGAGTCATAATACTTTCCCTTCCTCCTTGCCATGTGGAATGTTGTCATTAGTCTGAATTATCCTTGCTGGGCATCATGGAGAGATCCGAGTGATGACTTCTGGGGCCAAGGGGTGCGGCTCTGGTTTCTCAAGGAAGATTAGAGGCATCTTCAGAGGCCACAGGCCATGGAGAAGATGTGCAGGAATTTTCCAAAACAAACCTCTCTGACTTAGGGGTGAAGGTTGCGGTGGGGTGTTTCCCCCTTGTCTCCTGAATGTTGTGAAAAATGTTACCCTCAACCATTGGATGGTTCGAATAGTGAAAGGGACATTTTCTTATTTGAGTCAGATCTTCTTCAGTTGTATGTGAAAGAAACTTGCACAGGTGATAGAACAATATCGTGGCCAATAGTCCTGGAATATGAAATCTGTTTCCACTCTCATAGGGAGGGACTGATTCAATTCTCACTTTATTCCATGTCCAAAATCCCAGGGAAAAGAGTCAGTTCAGGTTAGGTAAAGCTCCCTGGGTCACTTGAAGTCAACTAGCTATGACCAGCAGTGAGGTCACTGTGTACAAAATGGTTGCTTCCATAGTAACCACAGGAATGGTGGGGAGGGTTCCCAGGAAAGAGGGTAGCTGAGTAGATAATATATATATATATATATTTTTTTTTTCTGTAAAGAGTCATGCAGAATGCTCATTTGGGAGTGTCTTTGCCTCTAAAGTGCTCTTCTCTCTGCTGCCTCAGACCCCAAAGGGCCATAGCAATTACAAAGGGGGTGTTGGTGCTATTGACCTGGTCTTTGTGGTGCTGGGAGAGTCAGGCTATTGCCCAGTTTCCTCTTCCCTGCTTTCCTCTTTCCTCTTCCCTGCTGCCTTGTGTTCAAGGAGGCATGATGGAACAGAGAGAACTGTCTCTGGTGTCATACTAAGCCCATTTCAAGTCTTGGCTCTGTTGTTACTGAATGCAAACCTGGGCAAGACAGGTAACCTCTTTGAGGCTCTGTTTTCTTATTTATGAAATGGACAAAAGGAATTTCCTTGCAAGGGTTAGAGACAATTTATACCTCTATACCACTGGTTCTCAAACTTGAATGTGCATGAAAATCACCTGGAGGACTTATTGCTGGGACCCACCCCCAGGGTTTTTGATTCAATGAGTCTGGAGTGTGGCCTGATAATTTGCACTTTTAACATGTTTCTAGTGATGCTGATGCTACTAGTCTGGGGACCTCCCTTTGAGAACCACTAGTCTACATTTACAAAAGTTCTCAACCAAGGGTGATTCTGTGGCAACTCGCCATCCTTCCCAACCAGAGAACATTTGGGAGTGTCTGGAGATAATTTTTTTTTTTTTTTTGAGTTGGAGTCTCACTCTGTCG